ACTTACGGTTGCCTAGCTGTATCCGCTTTTTTTTCCTATATCCTTCTAATGCTATTATAACTAACTATAATAAAATCTTGCCTATTATAAAGCCAGTCTCGTTAAAGTTGTAGATATCGTCGTCCACAATACCCCACTTCTGCCTTGTCGCCTGGACTAAGTCAAACCAGCGCTGGATAGCCACTAGATCCTCGCAGGCGGCTCGCTGGTGATTATAGGGACGGCTCTAGCGCGTACGGAGCTTAGGAGTCCGCTTAACAAAGTTGTCAACCTAGTTCTTGCTAACAGGGTTGCTACCACGCTCCTCTAATAGTTTATTAGCTATTACTTAAACGTTAAGCTTTGTAGGCGCAAATCCTCGCGCAGACTCTTCAAGAATACGCTCAACTATAGCCTCCTCTTCTAGCTTATCTAGACGCTTTAATTTTAGCTCGCAGTTACGTTAAGGGCGCTTTCTAGCGCGTTATTTAGATAGAGTTCTTTGTAGGACGTTGTAGATAGTAGCAGCACGGTTTACACTCTAAACACGTTGCGACTAGACGTTAAAAAAAGCAAGTTAAAGATTAGATTTAGAATATATTAATAGACGGTTGCGTTGTTGAGACATCACGCGTTATAGTGATGAAGTTGATGGGCTGGTGGGGCGTTAGCGACTCGCTTGGGTTAGCGACTCACTTGTGAACCACGTTATAGGTATAGACTTTATTTTAATACAAAAGTTTTTCAGTACTATAGGCCACTTTTAATAAGAACTTAATAAAAAAATAATAATAACAAGATTCTGGCTAAATAGCTACTATATTTTTAACTAAATTTAGTTAAGCCTATCTACAATACTAACTACAAACCTTTAGCTAGCATCTAACCTAAAGCAGCGTCTAAAATAGTGAAAAGAAGCAGAGAACTGAACAGGCCCTAGAAAGAAAACTCAAATTAATTATAGGCTGGGAGAGGACCGATTGTGATAGGCTATACCCAACGCTAGCGCCGCGGCCGCACGGGAGCTAGATTGACAGTAACAAAGATTTTACCGACGTTTTGCAAGACGACAAGGGCAATCATATTATGACAAAAGTATTGATAGGCTTGAATTACTGCAAGGCAAGACAATCGATGACAGGGGGGAGAGGAGAAGCTTGCGTCGATTCGTCGGAAGGGTGGAACATCATTTGCCGTGAGCAAAGGATGGAAGATTATAGGAGAAGTTGGTGAAACAACAGATATCTAGAGTCAGACTCAAACACAGACCTTCTTCAGCTAACGTCATTCATGTTCCAGTAGATATCGGCCATGATGCCCGACATTGATACCCTTTTCGCAAGATCGAGATTCATCATCCTCAAAATCTGCCTCTTTACCTCGCTTTCGAGATTGGGAAACGTGTCTGACGGCCAGCTATCAAAAGTTTCATTAGTCTCGTGCTCTGATATGGCTTGCCATATAGCCTTCAAGAGCTCCTCCGATCTGGCATCGTTGACGTGTTTTATAAGCGCATCTAGTAAAGGCCTAAAGACCAAAAGAAACTTGAATAGAATTACTGATTCTGGTTCCATCTTGAGCGTGGCAGAGTCGGCTTGGAGCCATTCTACGCCTGTGATAACATAGAAGCACTGACGTTCCAATCAGTATGTCTGCTCTAGCATCGTTGAAACTCAACTCAACTCACAAGGAGTCCGAATGAAAACACCTCTGAATGCTTGCCCACGCCCTTTCCTAGTTGGCCTCTAGGCTGCGCCACATCACGTTCCCTATCTTGTTATTCAAGAGCTTCCCGTCTTCTAGCTTCAAAGCGACATCCAAATCACCTAACGCTACCCTTTTGAGGTGGAATTGCCCCTGTTTGTCTATGTGCCAATTAACAAGGATATTATATGGCTTCACATCTAGAATGACAGGTTAACAATGAGCTGAGCGCAATAGCCAACAAGGTTCGATGAATGGAATCATACCAAGGTGTATCCAGTTCTTTGCATGCATGTCCTTTAGGCCACACCCGACCTCCCTAAGAATCGTCTTACGTAACTTGAGCGGGAGGTGGATAATTCTTCACCAATGAAAGCACATCGGTGGTGAAACCCTAGTATATAACAACATTCTCCTTATCGTTGTAGTCAACGCGGGTTCGCAAGTGAGGATAATCGCCAAAGTCTTTGTTGAACTCTAGTAAGTGATTAAGGATGGACAGCGACACGGGTTTCATAACGAAGAATTGGTTGTCCGAGCTAGTAGTTTTTCACTCTCAGCCATTATTTCTAATAACGACTGAGGAACGACGATTGGCAAACTCACGTTGCGAGGTAAAGATCCACTTCGGACTTTTGGGGATGGGAATGGAGTACTTGGACTCGTTTGTACTCACGACCAAAATTGCCAATAAGTATTGATTGCATCCTCGCAACTATGCGTTGACCAGCCCGACAGCTCACTCGGAGTCGTCGAATATCTGCACGGTGCCTTAGGGTTACCGTATTGGTCGAGTTGGCGAAGGAGACTTGAGATGTGACGCAGGCGTAAACGAGGGTGGAAGCACGTCGACACTGTTCTAGACGGGGTGTGAGTGGAAGCCGAGGGGAAAATAAGGCAAAGAACTTCCGAAAATATCGCATTTATCGGGTGGCGGTAGAGCAACGCTCAAAAGATTCGAAAATTTTAGGCAGATAAACGACTTGAGGTTGAGCGCTGCGTTTGAGCGGCAGGGAGTTTAATGAGACACCACTTATTGGGGAAACAGGAAGGCCGTATTTAGATTACCAACAAGTCTGCTTTAAATAGTGTGCGCTCGCTAGCTAATAGCTTCAACAAGAGCTATATTACTGAAATAGGAATTTTATGTTATCTAAATCTCTTACCTATGTTTTAGGAAAGGGTAATTATATTGGCTCTTATTTGCTTTATATATATACATATAATATTACGTACAGGCACATGACCTTTGGATGGTTGACAAGACTGAGTCTCGTGATGGGGACTTTCTGGGCTTTCGGAAGCACCTGCTTTGGACAAAGTCACGGCCAGATGCGCCCAACAAACGATTCAGGGAAAAGGGAGGCGGTGTGCCACATGTATTTGTGAGCATAGATTGGATATGTAGGTGAAGCAGACTCGAGAGCACAGCTGATGCTGACATCGACAAGGCTATAAATCCGATGTGACTATTCAGGCACCTGTGGTCACGCAGCCCCGCCGCGCCACCTTGAGGATCTGGGGTTGATTCGGCCTTGTGACCAGATGTTGAATGTGGATGTATGGTACCTTATCATTGGTTTGGGGTATAGTAAGCGAGTTGCTAGGGTTGTACATGCAACGAACGGGAATCCGATAGTCAGGTGAGAGTAAGTGCAGCATACTATTATGCTTGAGAGGCTCGTCAACACCGAGACGCCGCTGAGTAAAGCCATAAGACTCAAAGTAAGAGATGATGTCATGTGATTGTTAGCAAGTCAGAATATCCTAAGGAGGCATCGCACCATACTGTCTTACCACGATAAAATGAAATGGTGAGTACGATGATGGATTTGTAAAGGTAGCTTTTAAGGCGAAGAAGGATGATATGAGGTGCGAGATTGAGAGCGATGACACTCTCCATGCGGGGATGATGCGCACCCACAATAGTGTCGACATGGAGACTGAAACAGCCTATCTTAAGGTACGGTGATCAATTACTGTCCAGATGCCATCGCCAAGAGTGTTGCAGCAACTCAAGGTCTTGACGTGCGTTAGGTGGCTGTGACCTAACGATAGCAATAGCACGCAAGAAAGGAAGGTACATTGTGGTGAGCAGAATCCAAAGAAATGAACAGCATGGCAATACAGCATACCATGTTAATGAAAGTTCAACAGGAACATCAATCATCTGATACAACTCACCATGACACCATATAGGACCACATATACACCTTTGCACCATCACTTTGCTACCGTAGATATCCCCCGGTTTGTGTCAGAGGCATCAAACTGTATGCCCAATACTTTTGAAAAGAATGGCACTATCTAATGTGAGCAAACAAAAAAATGAACAAGTATAAGTTTTAGGGTCATTTACTTAAGGCACCAGCAAACCATTTCGAGCGTGACATCCTGTCCTTTCACTTCTCAGCTCGGCATAGCCCTACCCACATTATGTAACCTCATACACGGTCTCTTTCTTTCTTCCTCTCTGCCTCTACTCCCACCGCGCAGCAGCATCCCATCGCCACGGTGCCCGACTTCTCTAAGTAACAAGTCCTCAGATCCTCGCCCAAAAATCCGCCCTACCAATTCACTCACCACAGAATCATACACTCCAAACTCATCACCTTCCTCATCGGCCCAGACATGCACCATGTGGCTGTCCACTCGGGCGCCATTTCCCAGCTCTCCAGGCCCCTCTCCAATCTTATTCATAAAAACAGCAACAAGAAAGAATTCCAAGCCAGCATTATCGAATTCCCAGACCTCTTCCCTCAAGACTTCACGAGCACCTGTGAATTCGCATACACGGGTGTTTCACTCTCCCCTTAGCCGGCCAACTCGCAGACGGCTCGGACGTAGATATCCAAACAGATTTCTTCATGCTAGGCGTGCGGTGGCCGGCGTGGCGGATACCCAGGGTGGTGAGTAGGAGAACGGGTAGGGATAGGCTGTGAGTTCGATTTCTCGGGCTAGCAGAGGAGAAGGCGAAAGACAAGGCAGAGAAGAAGGGGCATCAAAAGGTGAAGGTGGGTGGGAAAGCAGATGAATACGAAGACGAAGGCCTGAGTGGTGGCGGAGACGACAAGGATCAGCAGCATAAGAGCAATTGGAGGGAAGATGTTGGTGGTATCTTGTTGGATTTTGCACGACTGTACAACTTTGCTGAAAGGTACTTGATCCAGGGGCTCAAGGAGCAGGTTATGAGGATTTTGCGGGGCTAACTCATAAATCTGGACATTTTCCCCGTGGCATGCAGAGGTGTGATCGATCTGGTGCGGTACGTTTACCATGGCGAATACACACCGGCGGCAGCAGCAGAGGGGGGCGAGCCTTTAGACCCGTTGCGGCAAACAGTCGTACACTTTGTTGTCCTTTATCTCAACATCTTCAGCGATTTTGCAGAACACAAGCAGCTGCTACGTCAAGGGGGAGATTATGTTGTTGATCTGCAGCGTACCATTATGACATGGCTGTTGTAAGAGATGCGGCGGGCAGTACTGGTTCACATTGAGTTTTCGCCGTGTACAAAGGAAAGGCGAAATTGAGTATCTTTGCAATGGCACACATATGGAAGGACAGATTCGATTTCACTAGGCAAAAAACTACTTCTCTGAATAGAAAACAAAAACAAGGGGATAACAAGACAGGGGGGGGCAGGGGTTGGAGATTCGAGCTATAAGCTAAATATTAGAGGAGAAACCCCTGGAAATCGTAGTTTGGATAATTATCAATCTGACTTCTTGCTCCTGTCCGCAGAGTCGCAGCTTGCAGCTCATACTAGCGCGTGTCGTCGTCCCGGGCAATATGTGTGGTCATCGTCATAAGCGATGCAAGGATCCCATTTCCTATTGCACTAAGAATGCCATATCAGTACCACTGTGGTCATCGGTTAGAAGTGACTTACTCGGCCATTGTCGCATTTATATGTCCGGGAACTATGCTTAGGTCCAGACACAATGCAATGCGTTAGGTCTTCAGAGCATGACTATTGAATGCGTTAGAAGTGTTTTTTCTATTACATGAAATACGTTACCTTACTCCTATACATCCTCCAACACTCTTAGGACATGAAATTCAATCTCTACTTTGTAACACATTGGCGAGTTCCTGGCTAGCTGGTGTTACGAGAGCAAGCGCAGTAACGGGCAGTAACATCAAGCAAGAGATGGTAGTTAGGAACTGCATTGTGACGTAGGTATTGGATTAAAAGAGCCTCCAAATGATCTCAATAGAGGATGGCTTAATAGGATTGATATTTCAAGATTTTTCTTTTCGTGGACATGGACTTTATACAACTGTCTTCTCAAACATAAAAAAACCATAACAACATAACTCGCATACTCAGGGGTAGAGGCCAGGTTTGCACTGACTACACGGGGCAGAACCATAAATTTTGACTTCTAGAGCGGGTTCTGACGTTTGAGACGGCCTGGTGACGGACAGAAATGAATATCCATACATATCAGCTGACTTAATATTGCTTACCTAACTAGCCCCACCACAAAGTGCGCGCGACCACAAAGTGCGCGCGCGGCCTCACCAAAACTACCTTAAAAACGAGGCTATAGAGCCACACCAAATAGATATTATCACGATATATTTTGGTGGTGAGATCAATAGGCTTTAATATATATATACAGCTATAGAAATCGAGACGGAGTTCTAATCGCGCGGCCGCGACGCGAGGTTGGAGGTGGTGAGCTTGCAGCACCTCCCTGAGGCTCCTCACCACCTTGAGGCCTCGCGATAGGCTTCTTTTTTTGAGTAGCCTTTGCAGGAGCCATGAAGCTCCTTCTCCTACCCCTTTGAGAAGTTTTAATAGCTTTTTGAAGTTGTTTTGCAGCCTTGCGAGCCGCGATCCTTGAGGCCTTTTTAATAGCCTTCTCCTCCCTCTCCTTCTGCCTCATTAGACTTACTGCAAGCCTCGCCTGACGCCTCTGCTCCTTCTCCCTCGCCCTAACCTGCCTTGTCTCCTCACGCTGTCTTCTCGTATCA